CACGGCTCATAGTTGACGTCGGCTGTGTTCCAATACCCGATATTTTGGAACGATATTTTTATATACGACACTTGAGTGTATCGATACTTTTCACGAGTATCGTCATCTTTCGATCCGGACTGTGTCAGAAAGACTGACTAACTTCAGATTACTTTTCATCTTTGTTTCCTTCCGCTGGATATCGATAATTGTATTCCAATATTTTAGAGTATCGATACTTATTAAAACGATAAGGATCGATACATAACGATACTTTTCGGAGATCTAAACATCCCTAATCTTGACAGCTTGTCGTTCTTGTCAACTGGGCTGCAGGGTGCGGTGTTGCCTTTACTATCTTACATTTTGCTAAAATCTTATGACAAATAAAAGCTTCAAATGACATATTGACGAATATGAACGGATATACATAGAATTTAGAATAATAGTCTTTATACGTTTAAGTTAAAAAATTAAAGTTCTAAGGCGAGGGAAGTAAATTTACTGTCGTCCAAATTGTAGGATTTCCTTATACAAAATCTCTCATGTTTCTTGGCCTAGAAAGACGAAAATCAAAAGACACGAAACCGCCGTTTCGCCCTGAAGGGCCGCGTTGGAATCGGGCAACGCCGCCGGCGCCAGCACCTCCGTAACCATGGCAACGCATATGGCGGCAATAGGCGCAACAAGCTGCGGCGGCGACGGATTGACGCCCGGCGCGCGGTAACGGCGGCAAATCGAACAGAATTCTAATTCGATGGTTTCACCGGGACACACGTACACACCGGGCCTGATCCATCCCTAGCATTGGCGTTGGAGGAATTCGGGACGACGACGAAGTGATAAGGGTCATCGGGCATGCGTCGTGGCACATCTCGGATCTAGTAAGAACGTATGTTGGGCGGTGCGGCGGTGGACAACCCGATGTCAGGACAGACGTTCGTGGGTTGTATTATCCGGGGATGATCACATAAGGCAGAGCTCACGTGACCTTTAGGATTGATTAGAGGTGATATTGCAGAACAGGGAGCTTAAAGAACTTTGGACTGACGATCATGGGTGGGGTCGTATCAACGGAAAAACATAGAAAATATACTAAGTGACATATAAATCCGAACACCCAGTTTAAATGGTTTTATTTTAATAAAATTTTGTATAAGTACTTAATGAAGCATAATAAGTAAATGATAAACATTTCAAAATGATTGCACTGCTTTAAAGCCCTTTGACCTTTAATAATGTGTGGATGCACCCTGATGTGCTACGCATTCTCCAACGCGCCTAGGCATGCTTCTGATCAGGTAGTCAATGTCCTCCTGTGGTATCTCATTCCAGGCAACCACCAACTCCTCTCGAAGTGCTTCTAGAGTCTGAGGAGGACGTTGCAAATTGAGCAATCTCCTACCCATCATATCCCACACGTGCTCAATTGGGGATAAGTCGGGAGATCTTGGTGGCCATGGTAACAATGTGACATCATTATGTTGAAAGAAGTCTATTGTGACTCTTGCAACATGTGGTCGGGCATTATCTTGTTGGAAAGTTGGATCTGCCAGGGTGTCAAGATAGGGTAAAACATGGGGTTCTAGAACTTCGTGAATATAACGCTGCGCGTTCATGTTACCTCTGATGAAGATTAAAGGTGACCTGGCACCATAAGCTATAGCACCCCAAACCATAACTCCAACAGTGTGATGAACATGTCTTTCAACAAAAAACTGTGGATTCCTCCTTTCACCACGTCGCCTTCTAACCCTGGCACGACCGTCGTGCATGCCTAAACAAAATCGAGACTCGTCACTAAAGACAATACTGTTCCATTCCTGATCCCAGAGTGACCGTTGTCTGCACCACTCAAGGCGATTACCTCGGTGTTCTCGAGTTAAAGGGAGGACCCAGTGTGGCCGGTATGAAAACAAGCCAAAACTTCTCATTCGTCGGTAAACACTTCGCATGCCAATAGGTCTTCCGTGTTCTGCAAACCATTCATTTGCAATGGACCTGGTAGTGGAGAAACGGTCCCTTAAGGCCAATAATCTTAGGCGGCGATCTTCACGGTCTGTTGCCCCTTGCTCTTTGCGTACGGCCTTCTCGAAGCCATGCCTGACAACACCTAACCACAGTGTCTACACTTCTTTGCACTCTAACTGCAATTGCCCGAAAAGAAAGTCCAGCTTCCCGAAGTCCCACTATACGGCCCCTATCAAACTTACTAAGTTGACGAAATCGTACAGGTCTCCGTACTCTAGGCATCGTAACCGATCGTAAAGGATGTCAAGAACCAAAATCCGCCAACGTTGATTCTTTACTGCGGCTGAACTATTCATTTTTAGAGCGTTAGTGAATTAAAAAAAAGTAGTATAAAAACCGGAATGTCCAACTGATAAGGCTGAAAATTTGTTCACTTGTTATTTACAGCAAGATAAATACATACACCAACTTTTATTAAAATAAACCCATTTAAACTGGGTGTTCGGATTTATATGTCACTTAGTATATTAAAAATTTGATTAACATTAGGGCTCATAGAAGAGATAACTGTATTCTGGAAGTTTGAATGCGGTGATCGGTCAAACAATGGCGGATCGTTGGTTGGTCAAAATGAACCACTCAAAAAATAGATGATGTTTGAAACATGGGTATTGAAACTTTCGAAAAGGCAAACAGTGATCGAAGTGTAGCTTCAAAAATTATCGGTACAATCCAAATGAGGAAGGAGCACGTTATGGATGTAACGTTTCTTACATGTTTTATGGCTATAGGTGTATTTTTTAATCCACCGGTGCAACCAATTAACCAATTTTACTTCTTTTAATTTCACAAGTTTGGTATACAACCGGTCGCTCAGACGGATATTAAAAGAAGTAAAATTGGCTAATTGGTTGAACCGGTCTCTCAACCGGTGAATTAAAAAATACGCCTTATTATACAGCACGCAAAACCATTTCTATCGGTTTGTCCATAATTTTATCGTTTGTACACCAGATTGTTGTTAAATGGATGAGCCGAGACTCACTAGATTTTTTGTGTTGTTAATTGCTTTCTCTTAGAGACTAGTTATGTCTTACAGAATAATCATGTCTATCGTTGATAGTTATTATACAGGGTGTTTCAGAACTACGGGATCAAACTTGTTTTTTGTAGCTGCATTCCATATCGCCTTAGTCGTGCTATCGTATTTTTTACGCTGTGTTTTATGGGCCGATGAAGCCTGTTTCACAAGAAACGGTATTTTTAATAGTAGGAATAGCCACGTTTGGGACAAAGAAAATCCCCATGCAATTTGTCCTAGAAAACATCAGCAACGTTAGTCTGTCAACGTATGGGCAGACATTGTTAATGAGTTTTTGATTGGGCCATATCTTCTACCGGAACGGTTAACAGGACGTATTTAACGGCGCTTCTTGGAGGAAGTTCTTCCAGAACTTCATGAAAATGTTCCGTTGAACGTTCGACAGCAGATGTGGTTTCAGCATGATGGAGCGCCGGCTCACTTTGCAGTATATTGTACCTCCTATGTCACCCGATTTAACACCGCTAGATTTTTTCCTGTGGGGACATGTAAAGTCTTTGGTTTGCGAAACTCCAGTAGAAACAGAGCAAGACTTACTTGGACGAATTACAGCAGCATTTGAAATCATTCAAAACGAGTATCAAATTTTTAGTCAAGTCCGCCGAAATCATGTGCGTTGTTTAAATCGGGGCATTCAGGTTGGAGGAAGACATTTTGTACAATGGAAGGGTCGACCGGAACAACGTTGTATGTAACAAAAAAGCTCAGTGGCCGAAATTAAGAAAAACAAATTTGAACCATTTTTTTCAAATGACTGCGTCTATAGTTGGCCAGCACAATAAAGGAACAATAGTTATACAAGGTTATTGTAATTTAAAAATGTGACACCTATATTGCAGCTATGGGAACCATTTTGATGGAAAACGCATGCAACAAGCTTGTATGATCCCGTTACTTAAACGTTGTTACAGGGAGGCTTTAAATGTCTATAAGCAAAACAAGTATTTTCAGCAGTTCTATTTATTAAGGGAACCAAAGTACACAGTAACATATTTTTAATAACAAAAAAATACGTTACATGAGTGAGGTTCATTAAAAATGAAGGTCCTCCATATTTTTGTGTATAACATGTAGAAAAATGACTTTTAAAAAACTATGAAATGAGGGAATGGCTGATGATGGGGGAATGATTTTTACAACAATTTGATGCTGAATTGCAATAAAAAACAAATTTATTTATTAATAGATTTGAGGTTTGTTTTATACTTTAAAGGGCACATCCTCATATTTTCATCATCCTCTAAGAAATGAACAACATCACCCCTAACTTTCAGCATTTTGGAGCTAACTTAACGAGTACAGTTCTTTTTGTACGTATCGTTTTTGAAAAAATGTTCCGATCTATATAGCAATTTGTATCTTTTGTGCTTATTACAGCTTTCAACATGTAATATTTTTTCTTTTCTCCATGTTTACTTCAAAGATCTTCATAGATATTCTTGAAGTCCGTTGGCAGAGCTTCTCCGAAAATTAGCCTTTTTCTTACAACGTCAGGAACTTGTATATTCTTTAAAAGCGAAGTCACTTAAGTTGCTGGAGAGTTTGGGTCAGTATTTTTAGTTTTCAATCTCATCTCTTCTTATATTTTTCGCTAAGCTTGACTGCGTTCCTCACTTTATTTTCTAAACTTTTAATCTTCGTGTACAGAATAGTTCGCCGCTTGCGGATTCTACGTCTATTGAGAGTAGACAAATTCTCTGCCCTGTGCTGTAAAGAGGGTGCAGGACTTGGTGGGGGTGTGTCTTCAACTATTCTCTGTAAATTTGTCTGTAATGTAACTCGCTTTTCCCTATAAACTTTACTATTCTTTTTCCATTTTTTTCGTTTTTGGCTAGTTTCTCTTGCACTTATAGGACTTCTTCTTTATTAAATACTTTAATATTCCTTTTTCACGCAAAGCTTCTAAAGATTCAGCATTAATTTTCATTTGTTCTCGCCTCTTTCTGACGCACTCACTCCTTTTTGAATTATTTTCTTCTTGACTTAAATACTTCATTTTCCCCATTCTTGATATACGGTTATCTGTTAAAATTGAAAACACATGCTATACAACCTGGAGTTAAATAAACAATAACACCCAAACCACAATTCCCTCATATAATATTCATTGCCTCTCTTTCTAATTCTAATCTAGTGAGGGAATGACGGATTTGCATAAACGACACCGTAACCAACAGTACATCACCTCAAATTGATTTAGCATTTTGTGAATGCATTTTACTCCCCAAAACAAGAAAAAAATAATTAAAACATTCGAACAGTACAATGACTCAGCTTTTAATATAAACAGTGAGGTAATGATACAGAGAAATGTAATGTTCTAATTATTGAAATCCAATACTTTTTTGCAGCAACTCTTTTCATTATTAAGAAATTCCGCCATGTTGACATTACTAGCAGCATTGCCAAGTTTTAAAAGCATAACAGCTGCGTTCAAAAATATCAAATGGTGTGACCACAAATCGAATATTTATAATGGGTGAGGGAATGATTTCATTTCAACGGACATAGTTTAAATAGATTTTTTTATATACATATTTATTTTTTAGCAATGAAAGCTTGACTATACAATCCATACTTATTACCAAATATTTTAGTAATATTCAATTTATAAGAATATGAACAGATTTGACTGTATATATTTTATAAAAAATTAATCGTATTTTTTTGTGTCAATATATTATCTAAATTTTTGTTTTTAAAATATTAGTGTAGATACTTATTGGTATAATAAAAATGTTAAATTGATGATAAATCCATGCAACTTAGCATCGCTCAGGACATGAATTTCGAAATTTGCTGAGAAATACCCATGTATACTTTATTATCGAAAGGTAACAATCCTTTTTTTTCAAGTTTAAAATTGTTTGTTTATTTCAAAAACATTAATATACATATACGTTTTAAATGTCCCAGTTTCTTTTTAATACATTCAGTTTTCATTGAAAACACGATTTTTGTTCTATTTCTTTTATATGGACACCCGTATTGTATGCACACTTTCAGTCAGTCCCGAGATTTCACTGTATAATCATGTCAAATTCAATATTTATTTGCTCCTCCTGCAAGGCAATTAAAGATCTGGCAACAGCGCATCGCCATCGAGTGTCGAAATACCGAAATGCAGGACGGGACGATCGCGACGCGGATTTTCCTCCGACGCCGGCGTTTCGCGTCCCTAGCGATGCCCGCGGCGGCAGCGTCGACTACTACCGGACCAATTAACGGGCAATTTATCGCTCGTTACGAGGCAATCGGATCTTTCGCCTCACCTCACCGAGTCACCGGTCACCTCCGACGCCTGTAAAACCGCTAAGCGTCGTGCTCTGCTAGCTATTTTGATTTTGTCACTGGGCTCATCAACCGCGTTCGTAGGGCGTAAAATCTGGCTTCCGGGTGATGTTTCACATTGTTTAGGTATTTCGTAATCCATATGAAGGGTACCACCGGGGGAAAACGGCATTAGTTCATTATTTGGCTAAATTGAGCTATCAGTTTATTTTGGTGGCATTTTCCTGATGCTATCTTGTAATCAGCTTCTTAAATTGTAAAAAGGGCTTAGGTTTACAAAACAACAGCTATACGATTCCCTGTGCCGGAGGAAGAATTGCATGAGTCTCTGCGCGTGTATGGAAAAACGGCATTAGTCCATATGGAAAGGCGGCGTTGCAGCGCCAAAATCTATTTTACCAATAAACAAACTGGTTAGCAAAGATATTCTTTACGGCTTATTTTTTCATCAATTTTACTTTTCAACAAGTCCGGATGGACTATTGTCGTTATTCCCCGGTACACTTCAGTTATTTACTAGTCATGTCGTCTGGGACAGTGTTTCTGTCAATGTGACAGCTAAGAAGCGGGGAACATGGTGGTCAATATCAATTTGCCCCGAAGGGGCACATTTCACAACAGGTACAGCATGCTAAAGTACATCCAATTATAAGAAAAACAGTTTCTGTAAATGTGGTTTCATCTATAAACAAAAATAAACATGCCGGCAAAACCATTGGCGTACATAGACAAGGTAAGCTTCTACTCTACTGATTCAGAATAAGAATCATTATTCAATTCAAATGCCATAATACTGTTTCCAATATCGAGATTCACGGTGTTTTCAGAATAGGGGAGGCTAAATCTTTTCATAAGAATATTTTAGGATTTTACCTCAAATATTCAAACCTAAATATCTCCAAAACGAGTGATCTGACAAGAATTCCTTAAGAAACAAAATTTATATGGAAAACAGACTGGTATTTTATAAAATGTAATTCTTTTCCCCGAAAAGGTCAAAGGCGTAGAAAGTATTTCCTATTAGGTGTACAGTCTCTATGTCCGTCTTAGTTTGGGCCAAGAAACTCAGGGTGTTCATTGCTGATGTACCCACTGAACGACTACAATCCCAACTCATTATCTTTAACCTCTCGGTAGATATAATTTTTCTTCAAAATTTCATAAATAAAACTTCATCACCCTTGGTAGTGAAGAGCCTCTTTGAAATCATATTTATAGAAACTGTTTTTTTATCTTCAAGTTATGGTAAGTTATTTACCGTAAGTGAAGTTTGGGCATAAAAAATAACGGATGTTTTTTTCTTATACTAGAAAAACCTCCCTATATCGAGTTTTATGCCAAAATCTGAAATACTTCTCAAGCAATAAGGAAAAATAGAAAATAAAATTGTAATTTTGACACCCTGTATCTCGCAAACTATAAACTTTTGGACTGAACTATGTTTAGCTCAATTCACATATTTTGGTCTGTAGGATCTCCAGTTTCGAGTTTTCCCAACCTTTCCAAACTTTTAAGCAACACATCTTTTTTTCTTTCTGATATCTGCCACCTAACAACTTTTGTTTTTTTGCATAGATGGTTAATGTTAATCTAAGAGTAGCATGTTGCTAAACTTTGCGAACATTTGAAACTTTTTTTCTGTATTGAATTGTATAGTTTCAATTAAGACGATTATTATTATAACACAAATTCCAAAAAACATTGCATCGCAATTTTCGAATGTTTTGCGATTATAATACTTCCCTGCCAGTGGTGTAGGAAGTAAAGTAGTATATACGAGGGTGGTCCCAGAAGTACCCGGCCTGACCTAGAGATGGCGATAGTTGTTTGGAAAATATCATTGTATTAGAAAGTGTGCAACCTATAAAGCATATGTGTCAAGTTTAGTATTTGTTTGGCAGCCATCAATACCGAACGTTTTCAGTGTATTTGTGAACATGGAGAAAACTGGTCATCGTTACGTGGTACAATACTTTTATTTCAAATGCCTCAGCCCAACCAATATCAAAGCTGAACTGGATTCTACTCTGGGTGAGTCTGCTCCTTCGTTTACAACAGTAAAATATTGGGTAGCAGAGTTTAAACGAGGCTGTATGAGCTGCCAAGACGAGCATCTCGGTGGTCGACCAAATGAGGTGACGACTCCAGAAATGGTGAAGAAAATTCACAAAGCGGTACTGAATGATCGTCGACTGAAGGTGCGCGAGCTAGCAGACATAGTAGGCATTTCAAAAAGTTCGGTTCATCGCATATTATCTGAAAATTTGAACATGAGAAGATTGGTGCCGCGATTGCTCACAATCGAGCAAAAGCAGTGTCGTGAAGATGTTTCAGTTGAGTGTTTAGCAAAAGTCTCAGCAAAAATGCAGAATTTTTGCGTCGTTTCATAACCATAGATGAAACATGAAACAACAAAAGGGACAACCGGATCCAAAGAAGGCGAAGACCGTTTCATCTGCAGGCAAGGTTATGGCGTCGGTTTTTTGGGATGCGCGTGGGATAATTTTCATTGACTATCTTGAAAAAGGTAAAACCATCAACGGCGAGTATTATGCGAACTTATTGCAACGTTTGAGCGATGAAATCAAGCAAAAACCGCCGCATTTGGTTAAGAAGGAAGTGTTGTTTCATCGAGACAATGCACCAGCTCACAAATCCGTTATTGCCAAAATTAACGAATTAAAGTTTGAATTGCTACCTGATGCATCCTATTCACCAGATTTAGCCCCCTCGGATTATTTTCTGTTTCCAAACTTGAAAAAATGGCTCAGTGGACAAAGATTTTCTAACGATGAAGAAGTGATGTCGGCAGTTAATGGCTATTTTGAGGAGCAAGACAGTTCTTATTATAACAAGGGTAACGAACTTATTGGACATCGCTGGGAAAACTGTAAAGAGATCAAAGGAGATTATGTTGAAAAATAAATACATTTTTTTAAACAAAATTTTTGTGTTTTCTTCGTTGGGTCGGGTACTTCTGGGACCACCCTCGTAAGTAAAATATCTATACGGTGAGGTTCAAATTTGTCTGACATCGTAATGTGTACGAGAGAGAAGGGCCAGAACGTCCAATATGTATGTTAGAAAGAGTGTGCCGAGGGCGCCCTGGTCTTGTCCCTCGGGTTGCTAGGCAACGAGGTGCTTCTATCTCCTTCTAACACACCTATTGCACGCTTCTCTCTTGTACACATAACGACGTCAGTGGTATTTAGTTTTCAGTAGGCATAGTCTTCAGAACAGAGGATAAGGTCGAGGTTTGCGCTGACGCATTGGAAAAACAGTTCTCCCTATGATCTTGATAATGACCTCGACGAGGAACAACACATTGTAAGATCCGCCTGGAGATATTTTAGGGACAACGGCGTTAGCGGAGTCACTGTATCCCCTTCAGATTACTCTTCTTCGCAAGCATCGTCTGACGCTTCGCATAGCACATTAGAGGTTCCATATTGCACTCCAGCGGAGCTCCTAGGTCTTATTAAAGACCTCAAGGTGCATAAGGGGAGGATCAAATCACCAACAAGGCGCTGAAACTGTTCTCGCCGAAAGCTCTGACATATTTGGTGACGATAATCAATGCGATGCTCAGGACCCAGCACTTCCCTGCGGGGTGGAAGACTGTTGCGGTCATCATGATTCCAAAGAAGGTGGGTTCGATATTTCCTCAGCATTACCGTCCCATAAGTCTGCTGTCAGCTCCTTCTAAGCTCGCCGAAAAGGTGATTTATCGCCATCTTGAGAATTTTTCGTCAAATCACCACGTGATTCCTGACGTTCAATTCGTTTTCCGGTCCGAGCATAGCACCGAAGCTACAGGCAGTCAGGCTGGTGGAACATGTAACCAGAGGGTTCACCATCAGCATGAGCACTGGCATCTTGCTTTTGGATGTCTCAAAAGCCTTTGACAAGGTGTGGCACGCGGGCCTCATTTGAAAAGGACACTGCACTTGTCGCCCAGTCGTGTGCTGGTGATCTGGTTCACGATGGGTTGCAGAGTGCGGTGGGCGGAACGGTGGCTGATTAAAATTAATCATTCGAAAACGCAGGCTATTTATTGTACCAAAAAACGTCGCGACCCCCCAGCAGAGGTTTCTGTCGACGGTAATCGTGTACCATGGACAAATTCTGCCAAATACCTCGGTGTCACCCTTGATAAAGGCATGACCTGGCAGAAACATACAGCAGCCTTAAAAACAAAATTCCAAATTGCTTTTCGGCAACTAAAGGGTTGTCCAATAGAGACGCAGGAAAGTAAACGTCAATTTGACATAGACGCCATCTTTGTTTTCTGTCACCGACATGTCATTTTGTTAGTTGAATGTTTACCATTGATCGCTATGGAGTCGTATTCGATTGAAAACTGCATTAAAGTTATTCAAGAGCACTACAAAAATGGTGCAAAAATAAAAAACACGTTTCGCGCGCTTCGTGAACATTTCGGTCGCAACAACCGCCCAAACGAAACAACCATCGGTCGTCTGGTGCGTAAATTCGAGGCAACAGGTTCTGTGGCAAATCTGCCAGGCTCTGGCCGGCCAAGGAGCGTTCGCACACCGGAAAATATTGCTGTTGTGAAGGAGAGTGTGAGAGACGAACCGAAACAATCAACAATTGGGCATTTCGAGAACCAGTTTGCTCCGCATTCTCCACAAGGATTTGAATGTACACGCCTACAAGATCCAATTGACGCAAGATCTGCGTCGGGCCGACCATTTTTCGCGCCGAACGTTCTCAGATTGGCTCCTTGAACATCGCCAAATTGATGCCAATTTTTCATCAAAAATCATGTTCAGCGACGAAGCGCATTTCACTTTGAATGGGACGGTAAACAAGCAAAACTGCCGCATCTGGGCGAACGAAAATCCCCGTGAGTATCAAGAGCAGCCGATGCATCCTCAAAAAGTGACTGTGTGGTGTGCATTGTGTTCAAAAGGCATCATCGGACCTTACTTTTTCGAAAATGCGGGCGGGGACGCCGTTACCGTCAATTCTGAGCGATATCACGTGATGATAGAGGACTATCTTTTGCCGCAACTTGAAGGAATGGATATGGACGATGTTTATTTCCAACAAGACGGTGCAACATGCCACACAACCAACGTCAATATCCATCGATTGCAGTCCTTCTTCGGTGATCGCGTGCAGAGGAAATGTGCCATGGCCACCAAGATCGTGCGATTTGACTCCCTTGGACTTCTTTTTATGGGGATATTTGAAAAGCAAAGTCTACGTCAAGAAACCAGCCACCCTCCAAGAACTCAAAAACAACATCATTGCCGAGATAAATGCCATAGAACCGACCACATTGCAAAATGTCATTGAAAATTTTGACCATCGCGTGGACGTCTGTAAATCCAGTCGTGGTGAACATTTGAGCGATATTATTTTTCATACATAAATGGTATAAATGAACCTTCAAAATAAAGTACCCAACTTGATTTGAATATCAATCTTTTTTGTTTTAATATGCGTTTACTTTCCTGCTTCCGTTTTGGACAACCCCATATATCCTTTGTTATGTAGATCCTGCAAATTCAGTTTGATAAACAAAGTTAGCCCATATAAAATGATTATTAGACCAGTCATTACGTATGCATGTGCGGCTTGATGTTTTTCTTGCCAAGACACACATGCAAAGTTTTCAAGTACTGCAAAGTAGAACTTTGCGAACAATTTGCAACGCTCCGTGGTATGTCTCAAACGAGACACTACACAGAGACTTTCGACATTCCTACAGGCGCAGCGATTTTATAGTCAAGCGGAATCGCACAGCAACCCTCTGTTGCGCAACTCTGTGGACTACACAGTGGACCACGTTAGTAAACATACAAGGCCACGGCTTGCACTGTAATCAAAAATTAGCGCGAACCTTTAGTAAACTTAAAATTACAGTCTAACAAAACCGAATCAAAATTTGTTTAGTTCACCTCAAAATTAATCCGTGTACTAAGTCAAAAAGCCTAGGTGTTTCCTCTTAAACACTTCTGTTTTTCTTTGCTCTTCTCCTTTTTTCTTCTCTTTCCCTTTCTCCTTTTCCTTGACATTGTTTGGTTTCTGGGCAACCAGGACTGACAGATTCGACTAACGTACATTAGACAGTGACTAATGGGCAAAGGTCCTACGGACCGCCCAGACAAACAAATCACGAATAGTATTTGGTTTTCGGTGTACATACAGTTTGAAACAAAAATCAACTTACCGGTCATGTTAATCTCAGGCGCGACCAACTCGCTCAAATCAGGCTCCTCTCCATACCAGAATATCCACAGTTCCTTCGCGGCGGCCAAACTCAACGGGGGCGGTTGATGGTGGTGCTGTTGCTGCGGGGGCGGCGGCATGCCCGCCCCCAGATCGTACACGTCCTGCGCTGGCTGCGAGGCGGTACCGTTACGGGTGGGCGTCGACGCCCGCCTCCACACGCACAGGATGTCCGCGGCGAGGCAGCGCGCGTAGCTGCGCAGGACCGGATCCTCCAGCGGTTCCGACGACGGGCAGTGGTATCCGCCTGCGAGGTAAAAATGATGGTCAGAGGCGGTACCAACATATTTCTAGATAATAATAATAATATACAGTAAAGGACAAAAGTATATAGACAAATATGAATATTTACCTAAATACCTTTAGAAAACGAATTCATACTTCATTGCTCCATAAACAAATGCGTTATTAGTAGAAAAACTAAATTCCTTGTTTTTACATTATCTGCAATGAACACAATACAAGTCTGAATATAAGCACTCTTTTATGAGCGACAAAAATATGTAGACAAATTCTTTTCAACATTAGTTTAGTACATTTTCGTGAGGAAGAGGATTAGTTTGTGTTCACACCTAGTCAATGTAGGCGGCTGTATGTCCGATAAGCGTGCGATTTTGAAGGGGGTACCGCAGGGCTCCATACTTGGCCCAATTTTGTTTACTTTGTATCCGTTCGATCTAAGTCGTGACATTAAATATTGTTCTATTCAGTCTTACGCTGACGATACCCAACTGTATTTGTCTTACCGTCCTTCCGATTTCCTGGAGGCAAACAGGAGAATGTCTTGTGATCTAGATCGTGTTGGAAAGTGGTATAACGATCACGGGTTACTTATCAATTCAAACAAATCTGCTGTCATAACTATTAAGTCCATACAAAGTAATTTCGATAACAACTTGATAGAATTATGCCTGGAACGTGGAGACTTGCCTCATATAAAATCCGTGAAAAATTTAGGAGTAATAGTGGATAAACATCTCACGTTTCACGATCACGTTTCCAGGGTTGTCCAAAATTCATATGCTAAGCTCAAGACAATTTACAGTTATAAACATGTATTATCTATATTCTTTCGCGTCCTTCTTCAGTGCTTTACGAAGCCGTCTACTTGTTCCCTGGCTTTCAGTACTTCCACTCGTGCCATTTGTACTCTCCATGGTTAAGTATAACCAAAACAGTAACCACAGAAACCACAACAATAACAATCACACAACAATTCTTACAAAAACACACAATATGCGATCGCTCAACGAAACACGTTCCAATGCGTTGCCGACGCCTAAGAGTCTGCCGGTCGAGGCGCGTCTTTGATTTCATTGGTTCTACCGGCGGAGAACAATCAGCCATTATTTCCATCTCTGTCTGTGCTGTTGACCACCGCAAAGCCACAGAAACGACATATGTCGTACGCTATACGGCTGTACTGGAAGGAAGCCGGGATCGAGCTATGTTGATCACGCGTATGAGTCATTACAGTTTTAAATAGTTGTAGTATAGTCAAACCAAGATCAAGCTTTGTAACTCTTTGATTCTCAGCAAAGTCGAATACGCTGATGCGGTGTATGGTCCATGCCTGACACAGTCGGAAGCTTATAGGATACAAAAAGTGCAAAATAGTTGTATCAGGTATGCATTAGGTGTTCCGAGAAGGGAACACATTACTAGCTACATTAAGGATGTCAACTGGCTCACGATGCGTCAGAGATGGATTGTACACTTGTTGTTCATAGTACAGACAGTCCTATTAACCAAATATCCAGCATATCTGAGCAGCAAACTTTCATTCAGAAGTCAGCATCACTCGGCGAACTTACGCTTTGTAGGTTATACCCTCGATATGCCCCCCATAAATCAACACAATTCACAAAGTGCTTCTCATACATGGCACCTTTCCTTTATAATTGTCTACCATCAGATCTGAAAAGTTTGAATAACAATAATTTTAAAGTTAATATAAAGAAATTTGTTCTCGATAATACCTAATTTTATACTAAGCTTTCATCTTGTAACTGCTGTGACTCTACATTTAACGTTAATCTTATGTAGCCCTGATTGGTACCAATCGCAGCTATTAGCTGATATACCCGCCAGGTAAAATAAATGCGTATTATTATTATTATTATTAAAAGTTAGGTTCTTTGTCTTTGATGACATGTAGCATGTATTTTTATGTAATTTTATTTTTATATTTGTTTATTTGTGCATGTTTTCTCACTTGTCACTTTTCATTTGTTTGTGTTTTGTTTACGAATCTGTTGCTGTTTACTTTTAATTTTTATATCTTCCCCCATATAATATAATAATTTTTTTTATTTTTTTAAGTTACTTCTACGCATGGTTTTTGATTCTGCTACGTACTCTTTGGGCATTATACCATGCATAGGCTACAATTTGGAAAAAAAAATTTTTTGCTTCAAATTTTCTTATTATCTTTTGTGTATTTTTCTTTGTATTTGCATGTACCTGATTTTAGCCCTGGTTTCTTTCGATGTGAAAACTAAGATCATTGAGTTATACAAAAATGGTCAACGTCAAATCGACATTGCCAAAAATTTGAAGCAGAAGCGTAAAGCAGTTTGGGCAATATTGAACAAATATAAACAAAAAGGTATCTTGGAAGCCTCTAAGAGAAGTGGTCGGCCTAGAAAACTAAATGCTAGATCAGTTAGATTAATAAAAGTAATTTCGTCCAAAGATCCGTTTAAAACCCCAAGACAAATAAAAGCCGAAATCGAGACAAAAGGAATTGTCAGTGTTTCTACGAAAACTATAAGTAGAGGATTAAATGATTTGAAGTAATTTGCACGTCACCCGAGTAAGAAGCCGCTAATCTCGAGGAAAAACCGTAACGACCGATTACAATTTGCTCGGTTGCATCTTGATTGGAGCATCTGTGACTGGAAGAGGGTATGTTTCAGTGACGAATCCAAGTTCAATATGTTTGGGTCAGATGGTGTTCATTAACGTTAGATGTCCTAGTGGACAAAGATTGAAGTACACTTTGCCCACTGTCAAACATGGAGGCGGGTCTGTTATGGTTTGGGGGTGCTTTTCGGGGTTTTTGATGGGACCTTTACATAGAATAGATGGCATTTTGGATAAGTTTGTATACACAGACATACTAAAGCATGTCATGTTATCCTATATGGAAGACAATATGCCCTTAAGATCAATCTTCCAGCAAGATAGTAACCCGAAGCACACTTAAAATCTCGCAAAGAAATTCTTTCTGGATGAAAAAATACCAGTTCTCAAATGGCCTTCACAGTCTCCCGATATAAACCCCATTGAAAATCTATGGGAATACTTAGATAAGCAAATACGAGATAAAAATAATTCAAACAAGGATGAACTTTTTGCCGCTTTAGAGTAAAAGTGAAGACAGATTGATGAATCTTATATAATAATAATAATAATAAAGTGTCTTTATTGGCAACCTTCCATATTATGGCGAAGTTTAGCTTGACTGCTACTCTTCCACTTAACCATAATATGGACAAAACATCAAAAATGTATACAAGGAACATAATACATAGAATATAAACAATTACAGAACAATGACGAGATTATACCATTTGCTAGCCAAGCATGCCAGAAAGCAAATATCGACATGAACATTAGAAGTCAACCAAATTGAAAATATTCATTTAACAAAATCCCAAAAATAAAAATAAAATAAATTAACAACACAAACATTGAGAGATGATTGTATCTCTAATAGCTGTTTTCTAACTGATTTTTTAAAAGATAGTAAACTTTCTTGTTTGTTAGCCGCACTGACTGAATTGTAAAGCTGAACGGCATTATACGTGAAAGACCTCTGATATAATGAGGTGTAGTGAAGAGGAATATTGAACTGTTCATCATGACGTAACCTTCTTGAAATTAAATTCCTACGCGGAACTAACTTATTTGCAAGGTAAATAGGTCTCGTGGTAACGACTGTTTTATGTACAAAAACCAACATATGAAACTTGAAAAGATTATTGAGCTATCAAGAAACTTCTACCATCTATGCCGAGGCGATGCCAGGTGGTGATTGATAATAATGGTTGCGCTACAAAATATTAACACAAACATGGTTGGTTTTCTATAATTCAATGAACTTTGCTTCTTTGTTCTACAATTATTTTGCTTTATCAATATATTTTTGTCCTTCATAGTTCCAGTTTTTTTCAATTAATTTTTTATTGAAGGGAGTATAATGAATGTATTTATGTATAAGTGAGTATTATGCTATAACGAATTATGTATACAGGTTCTAGTATTAATAAAACAAGTTAAAAAAGAAATACGGCACAATATTAATTTGTCTATATACTTTTGTCCATTACTGTATATAGCATTTATTGCCCAACAGTACCAATACCATTTAGAGAGCAACACATAGTACAATGATTCAATTTACAGTTTGTGTGCCTTAAAGTCGAAAAAAAAACACAAAGGTATGGATATTAATAAAAGAGAATAGCAAAACATATACAGTGCTTTTCTTTAATGTCCCCTGCCCCTTTGATTTTTTGAACGGATCAATTCAAAAAATTAAAAACTTGAGATAATGCATGGATGCCATATTTTAGAGGAAAATTGAAAGATGAAAATGTCAAAATGGCCGTTGGGCGCCATCTTGGAAAAAAAATTATATGCAAAACGAGGGTCTTGTGGCACATCATTTTGAAGCTCCTGACGTGTACTTTATAACCCTGCTACAAAATGGTGGTACATTTAATTATTACCTGAATAAATTGACATTTAACTTTTTAAAAGTCTCCATACAGTAGAAGGACAAACCTCACATAGGAAGTAGACTGTTGGGGATTTACTATGATCTCACCAATTATTTGAACTTGCTTTTCTTCCGGGATGGTCGGATGACCTGGGGGATTTTTGTTTACACTACCAGTAGCTGTAAATTTAGTTACAAGTTCCCTTAAATATTTTCTACAGATAGGACGATTCGGGAAACGATCATTAAAAATCATTTCGGTCTCGTGAAAGTTACGCGTCGCACCATAAATAAAAATCGCTTCAATTTTTTCTTCCAATGGACGAGAATTGATCATTTTAAAAATAGTTCAAACAGTCTCTAGCACTAAAACCGAAAACTAAATAAGACTATTTTAACTATACAATGATGTTTGTTTTCGTACTGATATTCTTGTCACTGTCAACAAAAAATAACAAAACAAGTTTTTATCGCTGTTGCTGTGGATACGGCAGGGAATTACAATTATTTGTAGAGATATGCATGTTAGTCGGTTTGTGTTCAAGTAGTTATTGAATGTACCGCCATTTTGTAGTAGGAAAAGGTATTGACTTTATATTCTAGGGTTATAAAGTACTCGCCAGGAGCTTCAAAATGATGTGCCACAAGACCCCCGTTTTCATATAATTTGTTTTCCAAGATGGCGCACAGCGGCCATCTTGACGTTTTCATTTGTCAATTTTACTCTGAAATGTGGTATCCACGCATCAATTTCATTACATCAAGTTTTAATTTTTTGGTTTGCTCCGCTCAAAAAATCAAAGGGGAGGGGGACATTAAAGAAAAGCACTGTATAGGTATATCATGTAATGTTCACACATAAATATATAACAAATGAAAACGTCTAGAGAAAAGGGTAAAAAAGGCAAAGACGTGAAAGTATAACACTCCTTGATTCCTGAAACCACAACCGGAGATATCACAAAAACTCCCAATCCTATTCGCATTATATTGCACATAAAGTTTATTGGTGCTTTAGATAGAAGGTTTGTCTGTGTTCTCTTGCAGAAAAAGGAAACTTTATATTTGGATGTGAATATTACCGATGCCCTGCTCCCTGCACTTCTCTACAGAAGGGACACCAAATATATACAATAATAATAAGTAGTCATATCCTTTTCAATGATAGACACCATCACTCCTAAAGCATAGATATTTCAGAAATTTCTTTTGCACTTTTTTAATATTATTTTTGTAGACTTCATAGATAGGTCTACAAAAAATTGCAACGTATTCTAATTTATTTATTATCAAGCACTGAAAATAACTTAAAAAGCGTAGTGGTATTGAAATCTCTATAATTTCAGATGAAAGCGATACACATTACTTATAATTTCACTGATGTGGTAGTTAAGAAGAATCATTTATTTTATACGGGTAAGTAAAAATTTTACTTTCCGGGTGAAGGTTAAAACGAGGCATTTAAAGTTGTTCAAATACAAATTGTTTTTGATCGCCATATATGTGAAAAATTATTTGTTGGAGGATTTCCAGATACGAAAATAAGGTGAAATGGGATTTCCAGATACGAAAATAAGGTGAAATGTTCTTGGCCCGACACAGAAATGACGCTCCAATCAGAGAAAATCTATGATTCCTGCATGTATGACAAGTCTCAGCTTCGCTCAAGTACGAGTGCCATTTTTAAAGAACCGATTGGGCACTGTGTGCATCCTGACACGTGAAGTCTGTTCAACATCAGACACTCTTAGTCTGTCTTTCACTACGCCGCGATTACGTTTTCGCCTGTGTTGGAAAAGGCATTATTTGATAGAATAGATTTAGGCATCCTATTAAGAAAACTGAGTTTCTCTGGATTCTCTGCTGGACTTGTATCATTGTTTAACTCTTATCTTTTCAGTATGAGACAATATGTTAAATAAAAAGGTTACCGTTCACAGGATCCCCAAGGCTGAAATCTAGGACCTTTACTCTTTCTGTTATGCATAAACGATCTAACTCTTGACTTGTTCAAAATTATTGCCGATTACCCGAAAATGGTATTTCATTGCCAGGCCGAGAATTTTTCACCCTATCCTCGTACAGGAAGGTTGAAAAAAACCAGTTTAAAAAAGTAACATTCACTGTAACGTTTTCAAATTTAGCAGATATCTTATAATGATTAAGTCTTTTTGGCTTTTGCTCCAGAAGCATTACCTTCCAGGATATGTCATGAGGGAAAGTTGGAATAATTTTATTTTTTTTTCAGTATTCATCCTTCGTCACATTGGTGCAAACCGTACTCGATGTGTTTGTCTGAAGACTTGGGCTAAAGTGTATTATAGACCTTTTATATCGCTGTTTCGTATAAGTAATTTCATCATTGTAACCTGTTTTCTGAACTTACCTGGTGTCGAACAGTGGGGCGGCGGCAAATGGTGGTGTGGGCCGCCCCGATGCGCGGCCGGATGGTGGGGCGGCAGGTGGTGCGGATTGTGCGGATGGACACCGCCGGGATGCCCACCGCCATGGTCGACGCCGCCCAAACCACTGCCGCCCCCCGAATCGCACCACGTCAGCTTACGCCATTTTATACCGGAGAGTTCAGTCTGGAACAAGGAAAACATATATCAGGTCAAAGATATGCGTTGGTTATGAAACTAATTTTATAGAATCTAAGACACGTTTTATACACTGTTTGGCAAATAAAGCTGCAATTTGGGTAAAAGACAAAAAGATCGCAACCTCAAGGTCATATACGTAGTTTATCCCGCCAAAAAGGCTTTTCCGACTACGCAAGAATATAGGTATACTCAAACTATAAGTCTCATTACTAATAAGTAACTGAATTAAATTAATACGATAATACCGGATTTTAATTTTTACTACGCAATGAAATAATGGTAAGCTAAATATTAAACAGACCTGATTTCAAATTTGTTTCAAATCCTCAACGTTTTCAACTAGGCACGCTTAAAGTGACAGAGTGTTGAAAAACGTCGAAAAATATATACTAAGTGACATATAAATCCGAACACCCAGTTTAAATGGTTTTATTTTAATAAAAGTTGGTGAATGTATTTATCTTACTGTAAATAACAAGTGAAAAAAATTTCAGACTTATCAGTTGGACATTCCGGTTTTTATACTGTTTTTTTTAATTCACTAACGCTCTAAAAACGAATATTTCAGCCGCAGTAAAGAATCAACGTTGGCGGATTTTGGTTGTTGACATCCTTTACGATCGGTTACGATGCCTACAGTACGGAGACCTGTACGATTTCGTCAACTTAGTGAGTTTGATAGGGGCCGTATAGTGGGACTTCGGGAAGCTGGACTTTCTTTTCGGGCAATTGCAGTTGGAGTGCAAAGAAGTGTAGACACTGTGGTTAGGTGTTGTCAGGCATGGCTTCGAGAAGGCCGTACGCAAAGAGCAAGGGGCACTGGACGCCGCCGTAGAACAACAGACCGTGAAGATCGCCGCCTAAGATTATTGGCCTTAAGGGACCGTTTCTCCACTACCAGGTCCATTGCAAATGAATGGTTTGCAGAACACGGAAGACCTATTGGCATGCGAAGTGTTTACCGACGAATGAGAAGTTTTGGTTTGTTTTCATACCGGCCACACTGGGTCCTCCCTTTAACTCGAGAACACCGACGTAATCGCCTTGAGTGGTGCAGACAACGGTCACTCTGGGATCAGGAATGGAACAGTATTGTCTTTAGTGACGAGTCTCGATTTTGTTTAGGCATGCACGATGGTCGTGCCAGGGTTAGAACGCAACGTGGTGAAAGGTGGAATCCACAGTTTTTTGTTGAAAGACATGTTCATCGCACTGTTGGAGTTATGGTTTGGGGTAACTATAGCTTATGGCTCCAGCTCACCTTTAATCTTTATCAGAGGTAACATGCACGCGCAGCGTTATATCCACGAAGTTCTAGAACCCCATCTTTTACCATATCTTGACACCCTGGCAGATCCAACTTTCCAACAAGATAATGCCCGACCACATGTTGCAAGAGTCACACAGACTTCTTTCAACATAATGATGTCACATTGTTACCATGGCCACCAGGATCTCCCGACTTATCCCCAATTGACCACGTGTGGGATATGATGGGTAGGAGATTGCTCAATTTGCAACGTCCTCCTCAGACTCTAGAAGCACTTCGAGAGGAGTTGGTGGTTGCCTGGAATGAGATACCACAGGAGGACATTGACCACCTGATCAGAAGCATGCCTAGGCGCGTTGGAGAATGCGTAGCACATCAGGGTGCATCCACACATTATTAAAGGTCAAAGGGCTTTAAAGCAGTGCAATCATTTTGAAATTTTCATCATTTACTTATTATGCTTCATTAAGTACTTATACAAAATTTTATTAAAATAAAACCATTTAAACTGGGTGTTCGGATTTATATGTCACTTAGTATAGTTTCGAGTTTTCTAAACATTTTTACACCTCCAACAAAAATCTCAATGTTCCTAAAAATATTAAGAACTAAAAAAAATCAATACGATATACGTCTACAGTGAGTATCTCGCCGAGCGTCAATTCCAGCTGTCTCTGGTAATCAACCCATCTACATTCGCATGCTTTCTCTTTCCTACACACTTGAGGTAGCTATCTATCCGCACGGCTCCCTTGTCTATAAAATCAAATCAATTGGAGGGATACCAGCCACCAGCCACCAGCCACCACCGGCAGAACGTACTGTGTTTAGTTGCACAGTATGTCAATGCATTGCTTTCTGGGACAGTACGAGTTGGGTCGGTAATACCGTTATTGTCGAACCTATTCATCGTGTGTCACCTTTATTTTTCGCAATTTTTTTTTTCGGGCATAGCATTGCACCGATTTTCATTACCTTTAAACATAAGCTGAATTAAAAATTTTTCGTGTTTAGAATAATTCCTCCAACAGTATCATGCCATCCTAACCCAAAGTTTTGGGACATCAAAAAGGAAATTTCACAATTTCTACGACTTCGCGAATTCGCAACTTATGAAAGTTTCGCTTTAAACGAGAAAGCTGTATTCATTACAGCTTCTGTCTAAAATAACTTATAATATGCAAAGAGGCAGCAACCAGAAACTCCGAAACAACTAAGTTTGCCTCAAATTAAAGAAAAGAAATAGGATGGGGGAAAAGATTAACTAATAACAAAAAGCAATTCAAGTGAGCATCAAATACTGTAGATACCTATGTTTGTTTTTATATTGGGATATATAGACATAGATCCAATAATGTAGAATCCATGTAAATTTCGCAGTTATTATTGCTTGAATCAGTATGTCAGAAAAATGAATTATGAATTAACAAATAATAGCTCAGAAGCAATAGGCGTTAAGAGCCTTCGTCCTAAGAAAAACATATACGGTGAAATTCAAATTCGGCTGACGTCGTAATGTATACGAGAGAGAAGCGTGCGATATGTATGATAGAAAGAGTGCGCGGATGGCTTCCGGTACTCGGGTTGCTAGGCAACGGTGTGCTTCCATCTCTTTCTAACGCACGTATTGCGCGCTTCTCTCTCGTACACATTACGACGTAAGTGGTATTTGGCTTTCAATGTATAGAAAATAGCAGAATCAAGAATGGAATTGGTCAAAACGAATCGTGAATCACAACCTTTGTACTAATCGATAAGCGTGAGGTTGATAAAATTATATACATGTATAATTACTAGCGTCGTATGTAAACAGATAAGTAAATAATGCGATAAAATAGCGCCATGTATTTACACAATTACACTTAGCATATTGATTAAAACGTGTCCTGCTGTTTGTGTAATGCAAAACTGTAGGCAATTTTTACTGTTCAGTTTATAATTTCGCGCCACGTTGTATCCTTTTTCTAATTTCGATCGTTGAATATTTACAGTGAACGTTGACAAATAGACACGTCTTTTATAATATTATAAAATTAACGTGTTAACCAGCCTAAAGCGGTCCAACAGTGCAGCGTATGCTGAATAATAGAAGCACATTAAGTACTATTTTTTGTACAGTTTTTCGGAATTATTAGAATTTGTCCCTCCTCATGAGAAAATTTGGTATCCCCGCTCTTCAAAAAGTTATTATCTCTTGGGGATGATCGGTCCAGCCCTGTAAAAATTTCCTGGGGCATCTATGGTAGCAGTTGAATGGCTTTGGCAGATCGCAAAATTTAATCAAAAGTTAAAACTGTTAAACTGATAGAACTATCCCATGGCTACTGCTTTACGTTGGTGAATGTTTAGAATTAGATTTTGACCTGAAATGATCAAAAGTTAGGAAAAGCAAAAATACCACTTGGAATGCTTTAACCCCCCAAAATAATTTTCAGGACGCTCAGGAAAATCAAAACTATGTGGCAACAGTGTGCCCGATAAACGCAATCTGTTTATTAAACGTTTTTTTAATTGAACAAATCTTGTATCTCATCACGTACGCCGTTTTGTGTTCTGTACACTTTTGTAAAGAATGTTGCCTAAGCGGTTTATTTTGGAGTGTGTGTTTCGCTGCAGTTTATTTTTAGGGCTTAAAAGATGCGTCAAAATGTGCCTATTTAGCCCAACACAAATGTTTTTTTGTTGTTGTAACACGTAGTCAGTAAGCATAGGAGGCCTAGATTAGCTCATCCCTCTAAGAGAAAGAGGACGATATCAGTTTGTTAGGTTAATTCTGCCCCTTTTGTCTCACAATCTGGCAACGCAGCAGACCAGTCGAGCCGACAGGGGCATATGCAGCAGGGATCGATGAGCGGCAAGTAATTCCACGTGGTAATGTTCCCCAAAGACGTTATCAAAGTCTAACTAGAGTTCTTGAAACAGATTTCAAAGATACCCTCCCACATATTTCACTGGCAAATCGAAACTACATGTGTTGAAAAAATCTTTATTGTAAACTTTTCGGTCAGGACGGTAACCTTCTTCAATACAAGGACTTTGACAATATTATTTTATTGAATAAAGTAGATTTTTTCAACACGTGGTTTCGATTGGCCAGAGAAATATGGGTGATTATCCACATAAAAACAGCAGGCTAAGTTTCAAATGTTACAGATTCTTAAGTACAGTTAAGCTATATGCCTATTTCTACGATTTTATTGAAAATTCAGCATTAACGATTAAAAAAAGTTTGGCTGAACAGCGTTTCTTTCATTTTAATTTTTTAATCACAACAAAAATGCTGTTTTCCCCGTCTTCAGTCAAAGGTAACTAGTCATTTTAGGGTTTATATTTATAGCACTGATGAACGGATTTTACCTGCAGATAGTCAACCATATACTGTATTCAGGCATCCAAAAAAAGATCTGATAGATACTAGTACCGTCTATGAGACGGTAGTGAAAAGTGATGGTGTTTGGTGCTACTTTAATGAGCTAGAGAGAAACGCCACCTTGAGTACGGCGAGCAACTCAGGCACCTACTTTGTTAATTATCAAAGCGATGTCGCGCCTGCGCGAGCATATGAGTTTTGCTGTACTCTTCCTTTTCGGTACCAGGATATAAAACACGTTAATCAATGATGCAAGTCGAATGTTGCTGCATACTTAATAAGTCAGAAAAAATTAGAACAAGTGGCAACTGGGCAACACGATAGTAAGATATGTCAGGTATGTTAG